GGGCATGGGGGTGTGGCCCCCTGGGTGGGCATGGCCCACTGGGTAGGCATGGCTGCGGTTGTCACGGCAAACTGGATGGGTGTGGCTGGGGTGGGCATGGCTGCCTCGATGTTGCTCAGGGGGAGGAAGCCTGTGGGGGCTGGGCAGGGTTGGGGGAGATCCAGGGGGTCTCTGGTGGGTGCAGCAGTGGGCAGGAGGCCCAGCATAGATGGGGGGAGGCACTCAATCCTAGCTGGGACTGGGGGGCCATGGCGCCAATGAGATTCGGCTTTCCCTGCTCGGGGTGGCCTTTGGCTTGCTGGGTGTGGGCGTGTTCTACCACCTCTACTCAAGCTTGCTAGCTGGCCGCCTTGCCTCCTTTGTGCCTGGTGGGGCTGCCACTCTGGGCAGCGGTGATGGCCTAATGGACTTGCACAAGCTGCTGGCAGAGTTGGCGTGCGTGCCCACCAAAAGGGCTCTGAGTGCTGCCTCTGGCACGCGTGCCATAGGTTCACCACCACTGACCTAGAAAATCTACTCACTTCTTAGTTAATAAATTTAAACATCAACTTTATGCTAAATTCAAAACTCTTCCAAAGTATAGACAATCCTTCTTTTAGAATCCTCTCTGGAGATTCAAGTGGTTTGATTAGAACTATTACTTGGTTTTGAAAGGTTGGCCAAGTGTTCCTTAAAAGGAAGCTCTCTTCATTCTAGTTTTTCAACAAGCAAATTGAAAACAAAGCTGCCAAGTGAACTGTAATCATTCAAACTTTCACAGTGAAACATCTCCTGAGCTTTAGAATATCAGGAAAGCAGCAGGAATAAGCAATCTATGTGGGTAGTTTTTTTTTTTTAATTTCTTCTATCAGAATTGTTTAAAACAATGTGCTTCATATGCACATAACACATAACCGATGTGTGAAATAGGCAAGATAATATTGTAAGGTTAGAAGAGAGCACCCTCTTATGCTAACATAAAGAATCACAAGCCTATAAATGGATCATCTACTAAATGCAACACAGAGAAAAGTTTAGCCAAATTTATCAGATCAATAGGTGCTAACATGGACCTTTTTACCTTTAAGTCGGGGGTCCCCAACCCCCGGCCTGTGGACCAGCACCCGTCGGCAGCATGCCAGCAAGTGGGCCGCTCAAATAAGCAAAGCTCCATCCTCGGGATGCAGGCAGTATTCAAAACCACAGCCCCTCTGGGACATGATTTACAATTGGGGTGGCACACTTTCTTATGGTATGGGAAAAACAGAGTCCATAAGTATTTTCAAAATCTCTTTATAAGAAATGCCTTGTTAACAGTATGGGGAAAAATTAAAGCTAAAATATATCTAAAAATTCCAGGGGGGTCATCAACGATGAAGGCATTTGTACATCCGATCTTGGTAGACTTTGAAAAAATATGGGCATATAGAGATATTCTAAATACTGATGGGAATTTAAAATCTAAACAAGAACTGGAAAATCAGGGAATCAACTTGTCATAGTGGGCACATTTACAGATACAAAATAAATATGAAAAAGATGTAAAAATGTATGGATTTTATAAGGATCAAACTGTGTTTGATAAAATTTTGTTAACCTCCGATGAGAAATTAATTAAGAAAATGTATAATTTTTTGTTAATTTTGGAAATGGAAAGCGAACAAGTGAAAGAAACGATAAGATGGGCGAAAAATTTTGGCTATAATATAGAACTAGAAAAATGGCAAATGAGAAACTACAAACTAGCAATGTCAACTTCAAAGAAAGAAAACTTGTATAAAATGTTTTATAGATGGCACCTGCCACCAGCAAGATTAGTAAAAATGTTTAAAAATATGTCAGATAGATGTTGGAAATGTAAACATAATATAGGCACATACTACCACATTTGGTGGACATGTGGCAAGGTTAAGGCTTATTGGAGAAAGATACATACGTGGTTAGAAAAAATATTGGGTGAACAAGTTGATTTTAAAACTGAACTTTTTTTACTAGGTATAATGCCTGAAAAGATTAATAAGCAGAGTCTATATTTAATCTTACACATCACCACAGCAGCGAGAATAATTTTCGCACAATACTGGAAGAATGAAGGATTGCCATCAGAAAAAGAAATATTCAGGAAAATATTGGAATGTGCAGAGATGGACAGATTAACTATGAGACTGACACAGACTACTATCAAATTTGGGATTTATTTTATTGTTGGTTAGAGGAAAGAATGAAGGATTAGGAATTGAATGTGTATTAGCATAGCTAATCCCAGATAACTCGTTGATTGGAAAAATTAACATATGTTTATGAAAAAAACCCCAATAAAATCTTTATATATATATATAAAAAAACCCACAGCCCTCTGGTCTGCAGAAAAACCTTTCTCCATGACACTGGTCCCTGGTGCCCAAAAGGTTGGGGACCTCTGCTTTAAGTGACAAAAAGTGGGGTTAAATAGACTAGAAAGGACCCAGCAGGATTTCTAATGCAATTTACTTTACGCTGTAAGTATTACAAAAGCACATCAGAAATCTGGGAGTGCTTTTTTTTTTCCTTCTGAAAGCCCTAGCTGTAATCTGAAGCCTCACTGTGTCTGTGGATATAAAAATGTTAGCTATTCAAATTAACTGGCTGTCTTCATTCAAATCAAGTTGAACTAATGCCAGATTCCTTTTAAAAAAAAAAACCTGCCAAAGAACCCTTCATCCATCAATCATCTTATTTGAATGTGAATGTAATATTGTTCTAATGGTGTAAGTAGGGAATCGGCTTATCTAATTCAGCTGATATTATGTATGAAGCCTTGCATCCGGCTGTCTGAAATCCCTAGAGAGCAATGCATTTGAAGGCTAGTCTTTGAAACTTCAGAAAGAGAAGAAAGGAGGGTAAACCTTGTAAATATTCATATGCTATTCACAAAGATAGAAATGCCGAGAAGTGAAGATTTTTGAATCAAAACCTTCGAACTCATATCCTTATCAGAATACTGTTCTTCAAGCTATGGAGGCTATTTTGCAGCTCCAGCCAAACAGCAGGACCTTAAAGGAACAGGCATGGCAAAAAGTGGCACAAATACTTCAGGCAGCACAGAAATAAACAAACAAACAAATAGACATCAAGTCTATGAATCACACAACGAGTACAATAATGCCATTGAAGTTTCATTCATTAGGCATCCACTTAAAGACTTTTGATGGATCGATGCCATTGGCTGGATGAAATTTTCTGGTGACAGAGCAGTCCAATACTTCCAGATGCTCTGCTATCAAAGGACCAGCGGTACAAAATAGGAAGAATAGTTCCAAATGGAAAGAAATCCCTTATATCGCTCATAATAGGAAGTGTGTTATAACTGAGCTGATCTAAAAGTTTCATGGATTTCAGGTATAGCAGAAGGCTAAGAGAATCTCAGATTTCTTTCTTACTCCAGTCAGGCCTTCAGTTAAGAATGGAGTTTCAGACACTGGTAAATTAGAGACTCTTCCAGCGCCATACCTTTCTTCGGGATTCAGGGATTTGGCCTTAATCCAGACTTGATTGTTACCTATACTGTAATCCTAGTAGCATACTTCCACAATTCTTGGCTTCCCTAGTCTTTTAAATGTGTGAATATGGAATATGGAATTTTACAGGTAACCCTCAATTTAGGACCACAGTTGAGGCTAACATTTCTGTTGCTAAGTGAGACAATTGTTAAGTGAATTTTACACCATTTTACAATCATTTTTGCCACAGGTGATAAGTGAATCAATGCAGTTGTTAGTAATACGGTTGTTAAGTGAATCTGGCTTCCTTACTGACTTTGTGTCAGAGCCCCGCAAATGTATTTGTCTTTAATCCTTCCCTTCTTCCCTGTTTAATCCTTCCCTTCTTCCCTGATTTTGCCTATGTATTATTGGGGCTTGCCATATTGTTAGGAGAGGGTATTTGCATTGGAACTATTATTTGCTTTGCTCTGCTCGGTATGAGATTCTCTCCCTCTGGGAGAGAAGAATGCGACCTGAAAACATCTTCCTTATCTCCAGATAACGGCAGCCTAGGACCGTTGGGAAACAAAACCGAGAGACCTTGAGAAGCTCACTGAATCTCTAGCTTCTCATAACACGGTGGCACCTGTGGATTGGCTGAATTTCAAGCGGACAGTTGGACATTGGAGGGAATGTGCATTGCCTTTTTTATATAATCTTTTACACGCCAAATCTCAGATCTTGCTTTGCTTTCTTGCCGTCATTAACTCTCAATAAAAGTTTTCCTTTTGAGACAATGCCTGTTTCAAGAGTTCTGCTATCTTGGGCGATCTAGTTGAGGTCCTTACACTTTGCTTATCAGAAGATCACAAAAGGTGATCACATGACCCTGGGATACTGCAACTTTTATAAATATGAGTCAGTTGCCAAGTGCCTGATTTTGATCACAAGATCCTGGGGATGCTGCAATAGTCATAAGTGTGAAAAACAATCATGAGTCACTTTTTCAGTGCCATTGTAACTTTGAACAGTCACTAAATGAACTGTTGTAAGTCAAGGACTACCTTTATTCAGTGTTGATGTTCAATTTTACCTCAATCACAGATGGCAAATTGCAGGGCTGTTGGCTAACCAAACTTATAAAACATTTTTATTTCAATTTTTAAAAAACTTTTCACGTAATAGTCAGTGTGAATAGGTTCTATTTGAAGAAAATTTTGTCCATTGCTGATAGTCTTAGAATTTTACTAAAGATGTCAATAACTGCCAAATACTGTTTAAGAAACACTGCTGTACATGACGCAGGTTAGGATTCCACTATTTTAACAGTGAAAGGGTAACAGATGCAGTATTTTCTATGAGGAAATCTGGGGTTCTATCCCATTTTTATGCCATATTACAGGGAACCTATAGTCTCTTTGTGAGTGAGACAATTTTTATGCCACACTTGAATTATTCTATGTGGACAACTTGTCAATGGACAAATAAAGGAAAAAATAATTGAGAATAATTACTAGGAATAGCTTGTTCTTGAAATATCATCAGACTCTTCAGACTGAAGAATGTAAACTTATTTAATTTTCTTTTGTTAATGCTCTATTCAGCCACAAAGAAGTATTCATCAGATGGAGAATATTATAACTGCATAACTATACAAGCATAACTTGGCAAATTCAAATTACACTTAAGAAATGCCTTGTGTTAAATAACATGAACACAATTAGAAATCATATCCTAGAACATAACACCTCCTGGTGTATAAAATCAGGGACACATTTGTAATGATTTCCTCAGCAAAAACATTATTCATGTATTCTCTTCTCCTAAGAATAGAGATTCATTGCTCCAAACATTTCTTCAGGAATGTCTCATAGGAGTCTGTTGAACTCTGTTGATCCTTTTTTTTTCTTTACTAGATCAAAACAGCTTAATTGACCATTTAAGGAAAAATGCAGGCCTCAATATCGTAATACCAATATTAAAATCAATTCAACTGTGACTATTTTTTTAAAAAATGTAGTTGATTCTAATAAAGCCTTTGTCCCATTACAGATCACAGAGACAGTTTGTAGGAGCATACTGTAGTTGTGTTTGAAAGCTCACATTTTTTTTGATCGTGATAAAACTAATTTAGAAGTTAGATAAAGATGCACATGACTCAAGAGCCATAAATAAAGGAAACAGAGCAGTAGAAGTATCAGAGGAACAGCACTATGGGTAGTGGTGGGAGCTAGAACGTGGGCATGTGCAATCCGCTCTTCAAAAGGACATCTTTGATATTGGCAATACAGTTGTGTACTAATTTCTACATTTAAAAAAAATAAAAATTCAATAGAAAGTTGATTTTCACTGTGTTCATTGTTATGTTGTTGCTTATTATTATTGTAATGGCAAGGTACCTAAATGAATAGGTTTTATGCAATGCTCCCCAAGTTGCTGCCTCAAAATCTGCTAGAATTACAATTCCCTGCTAGCATCATGAATATCCACGGAAGCTGGGGATTTTGTGGTTCCCATCCCAACAAATGGAAATAGCATCAGATCAGAGAGGGTTAGTGTTAAGGTATTATCATGGTACAGTGAGGAGGTCAAACTGTATGATTTATACTGTTGCCAGATGAAGAAAATAGGACTCTGCATCTAATTTTTTTTTTATTGTTACACAAGTCCAAAGCTCTGGTCACCATGCAAGTACAGCATAAGGAGAATGGTTTTGCTGAAGTTCTGATTCCACGAGATCATAAGCTACAATATTTTGTATAACTGTCCCATTACTTCTTGGAGTAAACAAACTTAGAGAGACAGCGCGTGGTGCATAAGAATGCTGTTGTTTTTTCCTTTCTACAGCTGATCAGTAAACCAAGTCTAAATGTTTGAACCTGAAATGTACATAAAGCTTTGAGCTTACTGAGGGTCATTGTTTTTAAGTGTGAATAAATACACTCTTGTCCACCGAGTGCCTTTTAAAATGAATTCATTATAACTTTTCATTTCATCATCAATCACTTCTATTTGGACCTTACTTTTTCAATGTTAACAAAAAGCCAAAAAGTTGATTCAGGACAAATATTGGCTTTGTGATTTAAATTTCATTATTCTTCTAAAATCCTGAAGACTGTGGGATTCAAGAACCTAAAAAGGCTCAAGTCTTCTCTGGTTGTCTCCACCCTTCTTCAAGATTTTCTGTGTAACAGATTAAGTGCTTATGGACCAATATACTCAAAGATTGTAGAACATGTTAGTTTGACATTGACCACTTGCTGAATGTCTCGAACCAAAGGCGTATCCTTAATGCAAGATCTATACAGTGACTGCCCATGTAGTGTTACAGCAAATGGAACTTCTTAGGGACACATTTCAAAATGTCTAATCCAAAAGCAAAACCACTAAGTATTTTTCTTGCAACCTGTCCTTTGATTAATAACATTAGAAGATATGGGCTTTAGTTATAATTTACAGTCCAGTGTTATCTTCTGATCCTGCAGAAGAGCCTTTCTCTCTACTGGATGCAAAAACTTTCATTTGAACAAATAATCCTCAAAAACATAGGAAAAAAAGAGTATTGTTTTTTTAAAAAAAACTCATGGAGTTTATTGCTTTCAATTTATAAAATTAAGCCTGCTCCAGACAGGTAATACTGGTAGATATGTTTGCAATCTCTATTTTTTAAAGAATCAGAATATGTGTTTTGACACACACTGCCTCCTCAGTATGTAAGGCCAGGTTCCTTCCTTCTAATACTTCATAACCAAGATGCGATGTGGTGCCCATTAGAACACTGAAGTACTTCTCATTTAAGTCTGCCGAGCCCAGCATACGGTAAGTTGCCACAACCTCCTTCATCATATTGCCTGTTGACAAAAGGAATAATTACTAGTCGACACAGGACATGTGGTTTGACAATTCCCAAATACAGAGACACTAACATTCGAAGAAAATTTTAGAGTACCTTTGAATTCACATTCAACATTCTTTCAGCGTGTTCCTAGAAAACCATGAACTTTAATGACTTATCATAACTTTCCCACGCTAAACTGAATAATTACTCTGCTTTTCTTGACAAAATTACTTTTGATATTAAAATGCTGATTTTCAGCTACTTGCTTCACCTGATACTCAGATATTGTATTCATTCATTACAGGTTGTCCTCGACACCCAATTAAGCCCAACATTTCTGTTGCTAAGGATCGCCGGTGGAGTTACACGTGGCATTCCAATCCTTCGAATCATGATTGTTTAATAACCCGGAGTCTATACCAGATCGCTTTTTTGTCAAACTCCTCGCTGTTCCCGGGGAGACCCTCAATTCATGTAACTCATGTAACTTGTAACTCCACTGGCGATCCTGCAACTAACTTCACTAATGACATTTCCCGATTGAGCTGTTATTGCCTTGGGAATGTAGGAGAACAACGGGGAGATGAGAAGCCTGTTCGCTATAATCTTAGAGCTTCCACACGCTCCTACAGACATTTGAGAGGAACGACTCCCTGTAGGAATGCACAAGGAGATGCAAGTCACGACCGTAAGGATTCCGCCTCTCTCCTTTTAAGGAAGATTGCATACCCTCAAGTAATGAGCGAATACACAAACAACAGTGAAGGGATAGCCCCCTCGGGAGAAGGGGTCAACAATCAATTTGTGGGCGCCATGAATTCTGGAGAGGGTGTCAAAATCACCCCCATTGAAGAGAAAATAGAAAGGGGAGTTAGTAAAGTGATACGAAGGATCGGGAAACAGGATGATATAAACACAATGGAATCTTGGGCTACAGAGACAAACAATGAGGATATAGTTTTGAAAGAGGATCGTAAACAGAGAAACAGGGAGAGGAGAAGAGAAATAGGGAGTACTAAGAAGGAGGATGAGGAGAATAAACAAAATAAACAACATAAACACAGACAGTGCACATCTAATTACGTGGAATTAAGGAGTCCCCCCGACTTACAGTCATGCAAAGAAGGGAGGAAGAGCTGCGGTACCAGCACAAGTAAGGAAAGTGAGGAAATTACAGCTTGCAACACAGAAACTACGATCAAAACGCAGGTGGATTGGCTGGGACCCATGACGAGGTCAAGAAGCCGGGCGCAAAGAACGCCACATTTATAAATAGCTTCTCCCATCGACTGGAGGCTACCCTGATGATGCTGGCAGATGCCAGCGAAAGCTTGGTTTTATTCTGGTTTTATTAAAACTTTTTATAGTTTTATAACTTCCTGGTGTTCGTATATTTTATTGTTTAATATGAGTTTACCCAGGAATCACCGTTTTGCTTTTAATATTCTTAATATATACATAAAATCTGCAGTCTGACCCATTTAAATATCCTTATTTGAGAAAACAGCCCTTAAATATTGATCCAGCACATTAAGGCTCAATGAATCAATAAAAATCTGCTTGTCAGACCAATGCAATCATGGAGAAACTTGTAAATCAGAGTTAGTTATTTCTGATGCACTAAAGCCCTACAGTTGAAATATCAGAAGTTACAGCACGATAAATTTAACATAGCAAACTGGAATATAGGGAAAACCATTTATAACCAAATTTCCTAGATTTCTTTTCAAATTGGCGAGGTGCTCAAATGTCCATTCAAAGAATGAAAAATTAAAGTAAACTTGTTGCAATAATAATAATAATAATAGTAGTAGTAAAGTTGTAAGGGACCTTGGAGGTCATCTAGTCCAACCCCCTGCTCGGGCAGGAAACCCTACACCATTTCGGACAAGTGGCTGTCCAGTCTCTTCTTAAAAACTTCCAGTGTTGGAGCATTTACTGCTTCTGGAGGCAAGCTGTTCCACTGATTAATTGTTCTCACTGTCAGTAAGTTTCTCCTTAGTTCTAGGTTGCTTCTTCTGAGTTTCCGTTGCTTCTTGTCCTGCCTTCAGGTGCTTTGGAAAATAGCTTAATTCCCTCTTCTTTATGGCAGCCCCTGATATATTGGAATACTGCTATCATGTCCCCCCTTGTCCTTCTCTTCGTTAAACTAGACATACCCAATTCTAGCAACCGTTCCTTATATGTTTTATCCTCCAGTCCCCTAATCATCTTTGTTGCTCTTCTCTGTACTCTTTCTAGAGTCTCAACATCTTTTTTACACACTCACTACAAATTATATATATGCAAATGTGATAAATGCTGAATGCATTTATTTGAAGTTGCATGTACAAAACACAAGACAGCTCATGATTACAAGATTTCCCTTAATGCAGAACAACATAAGAATAATTATCTATTTTAAACCTAGAGCACTGCTTCCTAGCCCTCTTCTTTCTACCTCAAATATTTCAAAGTGCATAACAATGTGTAACTTTGAAGATACTAAGGTGGATTTAAACTGCAAGAATAATCCTATACCCATATGTCATTTACTTAGGAAAGTTGTACTTTGATTCTCTGAACAGTCTTTTCATCAAATGCACTGGCAAAAAACATGATGGAATCTGCCTGAGCATTACAATTTGGTGTACACTGGCTATAGAAGTGGCAATACAAATAGAGGAGTCTTATTGCTTGGACTAATCAGAGGAACAGTAGTAACAGCATCACCATCAGAGCAAGGTAGCATGGGATTTATAGTTAGTGTTGAAACAGAGGAGAGGGGGGAAATCTCTGAGCAAAGACAGCTAAGGATGAAATAAGTAGCCCTTCTGTTATCTGTATCTGTTTAAAGGCCTACAGAAGAATGTTTACACATAAATCAAACAATGAAGTCAGTAAGACTGGAGGCATAATGGCTTTATGCAGATAATCAACACAGATGTCATGAAAAGATTATTTTCAACATTTATGCATACATTCCACATTCATTCTCAACATTTCCCCAGCAGATGACAAGTAAAAACCGCTGTAGCACTGTTTTATGTGAAACAGCTCACTGACAATTTCTGGCTATTTCATACTAAATAAATTGATTTTCAGAATGTTGCTCATCACATAAATTGGATCTACAAACTTTTGGGATGGTGGATAGCTTCAATTCTGAGCATGAATGATGGGTGCTATAATTGCTACAAGGGGCTCCTCATTTAAAAATATCTGCTTTGGTGGCACAAAAACAGAACTAATTAACTTATGGAATGTTGAGAGAACCAAGAAGAAGCATCACATGTTTGTCACTGGTTTTGGAATTCCCATAGTAAATCTACTTCTGAAGATGAAATTAAAATTTGTATCTTTCCGAAATTATCAAGCTGCTATTGTTCAGGCAACAAAGCATTCTAACTCAATAAATATTACAGAATCATGAGTATTGTAGGTTTCTTCCTGAAACACATTCACAATTAAGGGGTCCTTGATGCTCTTTCAGCTCGGTTGTTTTCTTGCAGGCGTTTCATTACCCAAACTATGTAACATCATCAATGCATTGATGATGTTACCTAGTTTGGGTAATGAAACCTCTGCAAGAAAACAACCAAACTTAAAGAGCACCAAGGACCCCAGATTTCAACCTTGAGCTATTCTCTTTTATTGGTACATTCACAATTCTCTAAGTCAGTGATTGTCAACCTGTGGGTCGGGACCCCTTTTGGGGTCGAACGACCATTTCACTGGGGTCGCCAAACAATGCAGTCCGCCATTTTTTCCCCTTTTCCTTAGCTGTGCTACTCCCTTTTATTCTATTGGCTTTTGAAAGCCAATAGAATAGACTCTCTTGAATAGAGTCTAATTCTATTGGCTTTCAAAAGCCAATAGGAATTGTCCAGGCTGTCTCTGCCCGCTGAGCCCGCCAACAGTCCCATTCTGCAAACGGTGCTGCACCAATTGAGTAGTCCTCGACTTACGACCGGTTGAGTAGTCCTCGACTTACGACCGGTTGGGGGGTCGCAGCATTAAAAATGTTGAGAACCACTGCTCTAAGTAGCTGTGAACATTAGTTGGCTCAGACATCACCAAGTAATGGATTTCAGGGAAGCATGCTGGTAGTAATAAATAATAAATCTTTACAAAAGGACATTATTTGCATGTTGAAAGTCTACAGTTCTATCTAGGGGACTGTCTGTTAAGAAGGCATTAAAGAGGAGAAATAACCAAAGGATTCCTGTTAGCCAGATGGCTGGGCAAGATGGACCAACTGGCTTGCTTGGTACAAAAGGAACACAGCAAGAAATCAGTCACATTTCTTGTTATCAGAGGGACTCTAAAATGTCACATCTTAAACCACATCATTGTTTAAACCAGACTGTGGATATGTTCCAAGAAGAGGTATTTTTTTTTCAGTCAGTTGCATCCCTAGTTCAACTCTAGGTAATTAAACTATGCTGTCAGCATAAGCAAAAGAGGCTCTGTTAAATTTAATTATACTGATGGGCATAAGCAAAAGAAACCCTATACTGCCAGAAATCAGAGTATCTGGTAGGCAAGAGAAGACCTTCCTCTGTGTGGTTCCTAGGCTATGGAATGGAATGCTCTCTTATTCATTTTCCCCTTGATTTTTTTGTAGAAATTGACTGGGTAGTGTGTTGCCAGCCTCTTCTTGTTTTCATTACATTGTTTCAATATTCATGGGGTTGGGGTTTTTTTTTTGGGCACATTTAGTAAAGTTCAAGTTTTTAACTTGCATCAATGCTTATTCTTGTCTGTTCTTATGTAATGAGCCAATAAATGCTTTTCCTCTTCAAGAGTTTGACTTGAAGTAAACCTTTGCCTCTAATTCTGCAGGGCAGGTATAGTCTATTGATATTACTATGGGGATGTAATGCATAAGGAATAGTCATTAGCTTTCTTGTTCTTTGGTCCAAATTGTTCAGTTCTGTTTGCGTCCAGTTAATAATTCCAGCAGTGTATCATACCACAGGAATGGCCCAGGTATTGATGGCTTTCATGGTGTTTCCAGCATTTAATTTTGTC